CCCAAACACTTTTGTTTGGGAGTCCTGGAAAATATTGTAAGATAGCAAACATTTATCTGTCTTCCTCCTACTCTCTCCAGAGAGTGAGATCATGATAAGCTCTTTAGAATCTCAGGGCCAAATGAAACTTTTCAAGGGAGGTCAAGGGAGAGAATCCTAGATCAATGTGCTGAGAAGATGAGGCCTAGTGACCTGGGGTGAGCCTTAGCAGGTGACAGACTCTAAGAGGGATTCTCATCGTCTCCAGAGCTTCAAAAGTTTGTGAAAATACTTAATCCATGGGTTGTGATTTACAGCTTTAGAAGGGAAGCAAGTCAAGACCATTTTGTTTTAGGCTGAAAAAGAGACTTCCCTTGTGAACTTATCACAAGAAAGATAATAGGGTGTCCAGTGGCTATATATTATTTTTTAGCAAGTGACTCCCCTATTATACTGAAAACCCCAGAAGTTATACATCATCTTTTTATGCAGGAACATTCCATAGTGTAAATGTCTCCTTCTAAGGAAAGAAGCTCATTTTTGTAACATAATTGTGGTGATATATTATTTATGATTTATTAAAGCTTGCTTGAGAATTCAGAAAGCAAAGTCATGTACAAGCCATAGAAGCCAGGCACATATCTTTAATCCCAGCAGCCTGTAGCCAGGAGGTAGTGGTACAAACTTTTAATTCTAGGACTCAGGATTAAGAGGTAGACAGATCGCTGTAAGTCCAAGGCCACCCAGATCTACACAAGATTGATCCAGTCCTAAAGAGAAAATCTCACACAAAGATGATCTCAGCACCCGGGATCACACACCTTTAATTCCAGCACTAGGGCAGTATGTAAGATGGGAGAAAGGTTTTAGAATTAAGCATTCATTCTCCAGCTATATTGAAGATATGTGGCATTCATTCTGCAGTCACAGAGAATAGGAACTCCCCAGCCCTTTTAGAGGTAAGAACTCTGTGCTTTGCTTCCTTGATTTTCAGGTTGAACCCTAATATCTGTCTCTGGGTCTATTTTTCATGTCACAATAAGTAGAACATGGATAGAGAGTGTTTGGCACAATATTCCAGAAGTGTTTTTAAGACATGTGTGTATTTACACTAAATTATAAATGTGTTATAAATATATGTATATTTATAACACATTTTTATTATTTAATAAATATAGTTTAAATGCTGCTAAACAAACTTTCTGCTAATTCCCCAACAGCATATTGAGCTAATATTGTTTTTTTTCTGTATGAACATACATATTTTATTCATTTTGATCTTGTTATTTAACAGTTTCACACATTTATGCAATGAAATTTCATCATTTCATATGCCATTCCTCTCCTCAACCACTCTCCCTCTCACTGGAGTTCTTTTCAGCTAGTCCCTCTCACACTTTTTCATCTTCCTGTATGTGTGCCTCATTGTCTTTAATAAGAGGTACTTGCCGAGGGTGGGTGGTGGGAGGCTACTGAGTGGAGCTGTACAACTTATCTGTGGCCATACCATCTAAAAAAATGGCACCCCATTCCCCAACAACCTTTAACTGCCTATAGTTTGAACCCATCAACATTTCATCAAGGTTGGTGGAGGGGCCATCATCTTTATTTCACAGTCTTGTTTTTTCTAGAAGTTCGCCGTCTGTATTAAAACATTTGGTTACGAAGATAATTGTGTCTGTCTGGTATCGTCAGTGGAATGCAGTTAATTTCTACCACAAGAGCCATAGCTAATTTTCCAGCTATGATTGGTCCTCCATCACCTGGAAATACATTACCATTCTCCCCCTTTCGGAGGTGGTGTCTAAAGCCTAGGCAGTGGACAAAAGTACTTTACGTGGGCCTACATAAACCATGCATTCTGGCCTCTTCACTACGTCTCCCTAGGTTCTGACTTTTAGGGAGGCAGAATCCATCACTCTAAGACAGTGTGGATTTTACTCTCTTTTGTCTGGACAGTCAGATATTCCTTATATTCTCTCCCATGCGAGACACTGAACATTGTCAAACCTTCTTAGCCTCCTTCTCTCCTTCAGCCTTGGACACCTGAATCTGGAAAACTGCTTTGAACAGAAAGTAACAGAGAACAAGTAAAGAGGTTTATAATCTCACTGAACAAGATGAGTGTTGCAGTTTCCATGGTTAATTAAATATTCAGGCGGTCCATAAAATATAAGGGTATTATTGGACCAAGCAACATTGCTTAGCAGGCAAAGGCACTTTCTTGAGAACCTGACTGACTAAGCACTATCTCCAGAAAATATGGTGGAAAGGTAGAAACAACTTCTAAAATTTTTCTTTGTCTTCCACATATGCACCACATAGCATGTATGTGTCCAATATACATATTCTCTCTCTCTCTTTCTCTCTCTCACACACACAGACACACGCACATACACACACTGCACACAGTATAATAAGAAAATTGCTTAAATAGTAAGAGGAAGGGATCTTCCCATATTTCCATTCTTCTATCTTCAGCATGGCTTTAGCACTCAAGTTTATTCAGCAGACTTCCACACCATGGACAGAACCACTAATTCTGTGTGGTGTGTGTGTGTGTTGATCAGTTGTCCAGAGAAAGAGAAATAATGAAATAGGGAAGGAAGAATATGGAGAGAGGGGGAGGAGAGTGAGGGGGTGGGGAGAGAAAAGCAGAGAGAGAAACAGAGAAACACCAGGAAATTTCTGACCAAATTTCTGATAGCATGCTCTAGCTATTATATAAATTAGTCATGACACTGTTGCTGGCAACAAAACAAAACAAAACAAAGAACCATTGTTGCTGTAGGTGTTAGCTGTGTGGGCTGTGTGCAGGATGAATAGTCAAATAAAATTTGGGCTTTGCCTGTGAAGCGGAGCCTGCTGAGGGTGAGGCTAATGGAAGGCATATATTGAGGTGATCAACACATGTACACCACACAGGCGAATCGCAATATTCTACACCATCATCAGTCTTGTGACGGCACTGGTCGATCTTGCTTTTTAGATGGTCAGCAAGACCAAGAGCAAGAGCTGTGCCAGTTCCTCTTTATCAGCCCCAAACAAAGTTCAAACAAGGTTCTCTGCATCAGGGAGGTTGTGTAATGCCACCCAAACTGGCCAAAGTAGATATTCTGGCACCAAATTAACCTTTCTCTTACCACTACTGTGGCCTTTGTGTATTTCTTTCCAACACAAGTTCTATAGCTGTAACTTGTATACAAACCAGACTGGAAATGAAGAAAAGTAAAACACTTCAGTCAGTAACAAAGAGAAAGGATAAAAATTCTTTTATCAAAAGCATAAAAAAAGTCAAACTATGGTTGTGGACATGCATATACTAAGAGGATATAAAATACCAAACAAGTAGTATAAGGCAGAGAGGCAAAATGTTACAGAAGCACACGTTTCTATCTAAGGGCATGTCAATCACAGAAGTAGACTTAATTTAGAACCCAGGGACTCTCCTGGGTTGCTCCAATTCCATACTCACAGGTACAAAGAATATAATGATTAATATAACTTCTGAGATATCCTGAGTATAAAAACAGTTTCTCTTGACAAAATCAAAATTTTTCATATAGTAGAGAGGGATGCCACCAACTGTAAATATCAAATGACGGACATCTTTACTTATTTAAATAGAGATAGCACATGTCACTTACATGATTGCTATTGGAAACCTGGCCACTTGTGGGTGAATTAGATTCAGTCTCTATGCACACTGGGCTAAAGAACAATGTGCCATGTGCTGCTGCATATTTGTGAAGTTAGGAATGTAGACTTCTGAGGTTTTCTAGGTGCCAGCTGGCTTTATTCTGAGTCACTCACACTCCTTTACCATGTGGGGGCTTCCTCCAATGAAACAGCCCCAGCAATAATTATAATCGTCCCATGACAGAGATGAAAACAGAAATGCTTAAAGGAATTTTACAAGCTCCTTCTCATTGTCCAGCTTATATGAAAAGCTCTACAGAAGAAACAGAAATATCAAATAACAGAGCAGTCAAGAATGAACTGGATGACCTGAGAGACCTCACATTTTACCTGTCACCAAGATCAGAACCCTCTGCTGGTTCTTTAATTCTTATGTTTTGAGCATCTAGGACAAATGGGGACCACACACTGAAGCAATTCCTTTCTGTCTCTCCAACATCTAGTCAGTCAAAAATACTGTGGGATATTGTTGCCCTTCCATGTCTTTTTTCCTTTAAACTCTCGCTCTTTCCTTTGTTTCTCTCCCATCTGACGTCTTGCAGGATGGCCTATGAGCTTCACAGTCAATATCAGGTTATTAATTCTACCTATTATGAACAGAATATGGTCATCACAAGGAAAGGAAGTGGCAAAGACAGGGGCCCTCTGTGCTTCTTTTCAACTGAAGTCATGGTGTGTTTCTGGCTGTAGCTTGCCTTTGGTTCTCAGTCTCTGCCCGCATGCTGACAGTATCCACACATGACCTGTTATTTTTAGATGGTGGTTGGCCTGATCTTCTGAGTCTTGAGCATGGATGCTGCTGCAATGACATCAGTGACAGCATGCATCCCAGCAAGCTTCATTGCCATGGTCAGTCTGTTCAAATTTCCTGTTTTATTAATGTTAAGAACAGTCCTTCCTTCCTCACTTAACCAAGTGTGGGCAGACAGCCTCTGCTCTCAGTCTTCTATCCTCCCTTTAGAGGAGGCTCCTATTGATGGAAGAGCCTGAGGATTACATGTTTACACATAAAAATAGGTGTTAGGTATACGTTGCTGCTCACATAATAAGACTTTTCTTAATGTAGTATTCTTCCAGGGTTTGAGTTAGAGACTCTTTGACATTCACCACATATGTGAGGGCATGTAGCCAATGTGACATTGAAGAAATAACACCGATGTTCATCCAAAACTTGTTTTTTTAAAGTATTACTTTACCAGTACATAGGGGTTTGAGGTACTGTGTAATAAACTGATGAATGAGGTGCTGAGTATTTCTGTCTCCTTAAAAAATATTTAAGGAACAAAGCAACTTGAAATAAACAGAAATAAATATGTATTTACCTGGAACAAAGCTTCCCTGAACCACCTCCTTGTATGCCCACCAGCCTTCATGGATTTTTGGTGAATTCTGTTGAGCTAAAGGAGAAACAAAAAGGAAGGTAGATTAATCAGATGTGGCACGGGAGCCCTCTTCCAGCTGTTAAGCAAAAATAGTAAATACCCATGGCCGGCATCACCTTTTCCTACTTCAAAGCCACAATCCTTTTTTCCTCTCAAATGTACTACTAGTGTGTAAATTTCTTGTCATATTTTTGTAGGTATTTGGATATCTTAAATTTTTAAAAAGACTTTTCATACAATATATTTTGATCATATTCTTTCCTCTTCCTTAACTCCTCCCATATTCTCTACACCTCTTTATGTATCCAACGTGATGTTCTCTTTCTCTCTCAAAAAATATCAATAAGAAAAAAATAACAACAACAACAAAAGTCTCCCAAACTCAGTATGGGTGCTTCCTAAAGCTGTGCATGCAGTGGAAGAAGATGATGCCCCCCCCAAAAAAGGAGGGCCTGTTTTCTTGGATCAAGGGTATAAGAGTAGCTGTGCTTTTCTGCTAGGACCTCCAGACAAGCTCTCAAGGTACTAGGATTTTAATGGCAGTAAAGAGACAATGATTATGTATTGGCTTATTTAACTACTCTCTTTTTGACTTCTACACACACACACATAGACACACAAACACACATACCACTTGTTGGACTCATGTGCATAGAAATATCAAAGAGTGTATAAAACTATATTCTTGTTTTTAATAAACTACATTCATATTTTAGTTCTAAGTTATATTAAAGAAGACTCAGATGGACCCACACTTGTAATTTGTTTTGACTAAACCAAATATTAAACCTTTGTTTATTGTCTTAGTTTTATTTAACCTCCCTTTTCAAAATCCAAGGTGTGAGATGCATCATTTTGTGTTACAAAAGATGGGCACTGGACATTGGGTTTGAAAACAAGGCTTTGTGTAGACAAGAGACTTGCTAAATCTCTCTTGGTTCCAAATGCACTCATAATGTTTTTCTCTGCCTATGAAACTGGAAACTTGCAGCTGGTAGCACCATGGTTAAAGGATAGTTATTGACACAAGACAAATAAAAGAGAAGTCTAACCTGAAACTAACAGTGAGGGTCAGGACTTTAGAAACACACAGAAGAGTGACAAAGAACTGATTGGAAGATCTGGAATGCCATCAGTTAGACATGACTCAACATAAGTCTGGGGAGTGGATTTAGTGGCATGCACAGGATTTCCTGGCACTCTGAATTTTCTTGTGTTATAGAGTCCAGATGTTTCCATTACACTTGAAATTCCTGAAGGCATAACCAGCTCCAGAAAACAGATCAGGAAATCACTAAGTGGATGGACAAAGCCCATTCCTGTGTGCTGAGAAAAGGGTTAGATTTCAGAAAGCATTTTGGTGGGTTTTTATTTTATTTTATTTTTTTTTTCTGAGCATCAGCATTGCATAATAGATACTGCTTCCTTCTCTTCCTCAATTCATCTACAGGACACTGCCACAGGATCAAGAGGAGATTCCCAAACTTAGTAATTCATGACACGAGCCCCCGAGGATAAATGCTATGTAATACAGTGAAGCCTAATGACCTTTTTTTTTTCCTTCCCCCATACACTTTGTAACACCTAGCTGGGTGCAGATTAAATATAACTCACAGATAATACAACCTGTCAAAACAGATCATGACTAAACCTTAACATTTTTACTAAATGAAACTTGATCTGGCCCCAGCTGGTCCTGTAGCCAACCTGGAAAAGACATGTATTTCTACAAGCTTGAAAGCACTGGAGGTAAAATTCAACAGCCAACTTTGGATCAGAAATAATTCAGGAAAGTATTCCTTATCTCAGACAAAAATTTCTCAGTCTTATCAAAAATTTACACATGCTTTATCATATTAAGACTGTTGAGAATGTAAATAAAAACCATAGCCTCAGACCCTTCCCGCCACCAAATCCCCCAGAGGGCCCTGGAGGCAGAACAAACAACTTAGCATTGGGAGCCATCTCTGTCCTGCCCCTCCACCCTTTGGTAGAGAGGTGAGTATGGGGGCTCCCCAAACCTCCACTTCCCCCTCTTCGAGTCCCCTGACTTGCAGCTGCCTGACCCTTCTTGCCACCAAATCCCCCAGAGGGACCTTAAGACAGAATGAAGGACCTAGCATTGGGAGCCATTCCTGCCCTGCTCCTCCACCCTCCAATAGAGAGGAGAGAGACCTACCTGTACTCACTAGAAGAAGAGATGGGAAGATGACAGTATAAGAACACATCCAACAACAGAAAGATTTATATGACACCACCAGAGTCTAGGGATTCTATGCCAGAAAGACCTGAACATGCCAACACAGATGATGCAGTAGAGAACTACAAGCATAACAACAGAATACAAGAGATGGAAGAGAGAATCTTGGGTGCTGAAGATAAACTAGAGGAAATAGATTCATCATTCATTGACCAAAGAAAATCTTAAATCCAACAAATTCATAAACACAACATATCCAGAAAATGTGGGACACCGTGAAAAGGCCAAACCTAAGAATAATAGGAATAGAAGAAGGCAAAGAAGCCCAGCTTTAAGATGCAGAAAATATATTTAACAAAATCATAAAAGAAAATTTCCCCAACCTGAAGAAGGACATGCCTATGAAAGTAAAGAAGCATACTAAACACCAAACAAACTGGATCACAAAAAAGTCCCCTGGGCACATAATAATCATAACACCAAACAAACAGAATAAAGAAAGAATATTAAGAGCAGCAAAGGAAAATAAGGAAAAGGGCCAAATAACATATAAAAGCAATCCTATCAGAATTACACCTGACTTCTCCACGGAAACTCTGAAAGCCAGAAGGCCTATAAACACTAAGAGACCATGGATGCCAGCCCAGAATACTATACCCAGCAAAGCTTTCAATCGCTATAGATGGAGAAACCAAAATATTCCATGACAAAACCAGATTTAAACAATATATATCAACTAATCCAGCCCTACAGAAAGTTCTGGAATGAAAACTCCAACCCAAGGAAGTCAACTATATACACAAAAACATAGGCAATAGGTAATCCCACTTTAACAACAGCCAAAAGAAAAATGAGAGGAAATCCACAAACAATACCACCACTACTAACAAATCCAAAACAAACAAGAATTAACGGTCATTTATATCCCTCAATATCTTAACACACCTATAAAAAGACACAGGCTCACAGAATGAATACTAAGACAGAATACATCCTTCTGCTGTATACAAGAAATACACTTCAACTTTAAAGACAGACATTACCTCAGATTTAATTGTTGAGAAAAGGTTTTTCAATCAGATGGATGCAAGAAACAAGTGGGTGTAGCAATCCTAATATCTAACAAATTAGACTTTAAACTAAAATCAATCAAAAGAAATGAAGAAGGTCATTTCATATTCCTCAAAGGAAAAATCCAGCAGGACAAAGTCTCAATTCTGAATATCTATGCCCCAACTACAAACAAAGGCATCCACATTTGTGAAAGAAACATTACTAATGTTTCAAATCTCACATAAAACCTCACAGACTTATAGTGAGAGATTTCAACACCCCACTGTCATCACTAGAGAAGACCACCAGACATAAACTTAACATAGAAACACCTGAAGTTATGACCCAACTGGGTTTAATAGACATCTATAGAACATTCCATCCAAACACAAAAGAATATACCTTCTTCTCAGCTCTACAGAGAACCTTCTCTAAAATAGACCACATACTTGGCAACATAGCAAACCTCAACACATATAAAAAAAATGGAACAACCCCCTATATCTCCTTAGAAGACCATGCTTTAAAGTTAGAATTCAACAACATGAATTGCAGAAACTCTACAACACATGGAAACTAATCAATGGTTAATTGCACCACTTCTGGGTCAAGGAAAAAATATGGAAATTAAAAGACTTCCTAGAATTCAATGAGAAGAAAGATACATTGTACCAAACTTATGGGACACTTTGAAAGCAGTACTAAGAGGAAAGTACATAGCACAAAGGGCCCACATGAAGAAGCTCGAGGTCATATTAGAGAATTAACAGCACAACTGAAAGCTCTAGAACAAAAAGAAACAAAATCACCCCATAGGAATAGAGGCCAGGAAATAAATTCAAGGCAGAAATCAATAAAGTAGAAACAAACAAAACAATACAAAGATTCAATGTAACAAAGAGTTGGCTCTTCCAGAAAATCAACAGGATAGACAAACCTTTATCCAAATTAATCAAAACAGAAGAGAGAAAACATGCAAATTAACAAAATCAGAAAGGAAAGGGGGGCCATAACAATGGACACTTAGGAAATCCAGAGAATCTTCAAGTCATACTTTGAAAACCGGTGTTCCACAAAATTAAAAAATTGAAAGGACTTGGACAATTTTCTGGATAGATATCATTTACCAAAATTAAATCAAGAACAGATGAGCAATTTAAATAGAAAGATAACCCCTAATGAAATAGAAGCAGTCATCAAAAACTACCAAAACAAAACAGAAAACCAAAAAACCAAGGGCCAGATGGCTTCAGTGCAGAATTCTACCAGAAATTCAAAGAACAGCTTATACCAATACTTCTCAAATTATTCCAAACAATAGAAGCAGAAGGTTCATTGCCAAACTTTATGAGGCTACAATTACCTTAGTACCCAAGCCACACATAGACACAACTAAGAAAGAGAACTATAGACAAATATCCTTTATGAACATTGATGCAAAACTACTCAATAAAATACTGACATATCGAATCCAAGAACACATCAGATCAGAGAAATTGTCCACCATGACTAAGTCGTCTTCATCTCAGTGATGTAGGTATGGTTCAATGTATAAAGTCTGTTAATATAATCTGCCATGTAAACAAACTTTTCATCTCACGAGGTGCTGGAAATCCTTTGACAAACTTCAACACACTTTCATTATAAAGGTCTTTTGGAGAGATCAGAGATAACAGGAACATACCTGAACATAATAAAAGCAGTATACAGTAAACCAACAGCCAACATCAAACTAAATGGAGAGAAACTTAATTCTATTCCT